TAATTTCATGTAATTAAGGACAAACTCATATAATTAATTAAATTAATTCATAAACTATGATTACTAATTATCTTATAATGTATTTTAATATATTTACTTTATACATATTGAGTTCATTTATAAAAAATATAATTACTATTATATATATATACTTTTAGTATGTGTATGTATATATATACACTTTAAATACAAACATATTTACTTTCTATTTTATGTTGACATTACAAAAATTATAACTTATAAAATTATTAATTATAATATATATACTTTGTTATATAACTTATAAATATATAACTTATTATGTAAAGTTGTGGAGATTAAAATAGGTTTGAAACTTAGCTATTTTTTTTAATTTCATGTAATTGAGAACAAACTTGTATAATTAATTAAATTAATTAATAAAAATATGATTATTAATTAACTTATAATGTCTTTTAATATTTATGCTTTATATGTATTGGGTTCATTTAGAAGAAATATAATTACTATTATATACATACTCTAAAATACTTTTAATATATATATATATGTTAAATATATATATATTTACTTTTTATTTTGTGTTAACATTATATAAATTATAATTTATAAAATTATTAATTATAATATAGATATACAAAATTTATAGTATATAACTTGTAATGGATTTTAATACATACAGTTTATATTATAAATTATATTCATTTGTAAAGAATATAATTACTATTATATGAGTTAATAATTACTAAACAATAAAATAATATTGATTTATAATATATATTATATTCATTTATAAGCACACTTTATAGTTTTTGATTATTTAAATTTAAATATTATTATTTTATTTTTATTAATTTAATTTGTAGTTAATTATATGAAATACATAAGAGAAATATTATTGTGTATGGATAGGAGTTCAAGTTCGTGTAATTGGGTACCCATGAATAACATTTTAATAATTTTTTCATTTAATCGAGTTTTTAAACGAATTAAAATAATTATAAAGTAATAAAAATGTATTAAGGTTAAGATTAAGGTAATAATTTTTAAAATTATTTAGATAGTTAATAAGGTTCAGATACCTTGAAATTAACGGATATCATACCCGTTGACAACCTCACTCCAAACAATCAATCTCCTTATCCTTTCGTTTGCACATTATCATTTTCTAACACAAATCGCAATATCTCTCTTCTCAACCTTTTTTTACAAAGAAGACTCAATAACAGGATAGCAAAATTTAAAATTTTATTATTTTTACAAATATTAAAAGAAAAGAAGACTCAAAATTCAAAATTACATTTGGGTACTATTTAAAATTTTCTCTCCTCTTCACCAAAAAAGATTTTAATGTTAAATACAATGTTTTTTCCTTTTTCTTCTTCTGTGTAAATTGAAGCATTATGATCCAATTGCTTATTAGATCAACAAAAATCCAATATTAGTATTATTATATAAGTTTGAAAGTTGTTCCATTTTTATAATTTTTTTAAATTTTAATATCTAAAATTGTATATAAATGTGAAAAATAATTATTACATTGATTTCTCACATGATTGAAGATGGCATGAATATCATCTATGGTAATTTTAACTAAAATTAGAACTTATATAATTTATTTTATCAAATAATTTACCAAACAGTTTTAACTTAATTTTAAAAGTTATTATTTTTCATAAAAGCTTTATAATAGCTTTTAAATTAAAAAGAGTTAGGCCAAACAGGCTCTTAATGAGCTTGCTTATCAACAACTTTAACTTAATTTTAAAAATTATTATTTTTCATAAAAGCTTTATAATAACTTTTAAGCTAAAAAAAAAGTTAGAGCAAATAGACTGTTAATGATCTTTGTGTTTAAGAGTGTTTCTTGTTTTTTAGGTATTTCTTGTAAGTTATAAAGATCGAGAAGAGTTTTGCTTTTAGGGTGTTGATAATTGATTCAGAGTTGAGATTAAGAAATTTCATTTTGAAGGGAGCCGATCCAAACCTTTAACTTTAGTTAGTTCTTGTAAGTTGTAAGGATCAAGAAGGTTGGATTAGTTTGTTTAATATGATTAGATTATAATGCTTCATTTTCACTTATAATTTTAACCATTGATGAGTATGGAATATCTGTAAATTTCTTGTAAGGTTTTTTTTTTGAAAAAGAATTTGAACTCTATTTTTTAAGTAGTTGAATTAAAAATCAACTAATGCGTCAAATTTTTAGGTGCAATCTCTTGTAAGATTCAAGCTCACTTAATTCATATGAGATGGCAACGGCTATAGTAAGGTTGATCTTATTCTAAGCTTGTCCTTACTTATTATACAAGTAAACAATATATGTAATTTTTAATTTTATCTATTTTATGTAATTTTTATTTTTAATTTCATGATTTTACGTTAAAATATAAAAAATATTATTTTTTAATTACTATCATATATTTAAATATTATATTCTAATTTAAAGGTAACATGTATAATACCATTTAATGTTAACATTATAATTATATAATTATAAGTAATATACACAACAATAACATTAATGTTAATTTACATAACATTAATGTCACATATTAATGTCGCTAGACTATAGCTCATGCATTGCACACAGGCCTCTTCCTACCTCTCTTTTTCTTTTTTCAATACGTTTTTTTTTTCTATGTCTTTCACGTGGTTAAAAAAGAAAGCCTCTTTGGAGTTTTTTTTACTTATGTAATAGATATAGTATTATATGATATTAAAATTTTAAATTAAACTCATTACATTAAAGTGACGCTAAATGTTCTATATTAAAATTTTAATTGAAAAATATTATTTGATTTAAACATTAATATTTTTAATTTTTATGTCATAATATTTAAAGTGAATTTGAGAGGATAGATATTAGTTTTAATGAAGTTTATGTAAAAAAATTAAAATTTTGTCTTTTGTACTTTATATTATATGAATTTTTACATTTATTTTTTAAAATTTAATTTTTAAAAAGTTAATTTTTACTATAAATATTTATATTCTTATTATTATACATTTATATCAACATTAGTAAAAGGTTAATTTCCATTATAAGTACAGTAACTCTTATATCTTTGCACCAATGTAATAATACTTAATCCAATTTAATATATTTTTATTCTATATATCCAAAATATATTTTTATCCTTATTGTCGTACATTTATATTAAAATTGAAAAAATGGAATAAAACCTAAAAAAAATCCTAAACTATTCTGAAAATTTTAAATAAATCTTGATTTTTTTATTGGGTTACAAACAAGCTCCTGTACCTTTATTTTGATTCAAATAAATTTTTATATTTTTATTTTGAATCAAATAAATTTTTATAACTAATGGTTGGATTTTAAAGAGAATAAGAAAAAGAGTGCCCTTATAACTAGTGGTTAATTTAATCAAACTGTTCCTTTTCATTTTATATGGCGAACTGTTAATGTGGCGAACTGTTAATGTGGCATACTAATATAACATGATGACATGATCATGTGACATTTTCACATTTCACATTAGTATCATGTTGATATAAAAAATGACAAGTGCTATTTTGATTAATGACAATTAATTAATCATCAATTATAAAAGATTATTATACCAAAAATAAAAATATTGAGGCTTAATTAAACACAATTGAAAAAATAAGGATTTATTTGAATTTTTTTGAATAGTTCAGGGATATTTTCAAACATTATGTCAAAAAAAAATTGATTTAACATTAACATTTTTAATTTTTTATGTACAAATATTTACAATGAATTTAAGAATTTGAAACGATACAAATTAATTTTAATTATGTTTATATAAAAAATTAAATTTTAATTTTTGTACTTTGTGTGATATGAATTTTTACTTTTATCCTCATAAATTTATATCAAAATTTTAAAAAGTTTATTTTCACTATAAATATTTTATTATGTATTTATGTCAAGATTTGTACTACAATGAGTTGTTATTGTAATTCTTATACATTTATGTCAATATTTTTTAAAATGAAGAAATTTAATGGCAACTTGCTAGAGATGAATTGTTACCGCTTATCCATTTAGGAGGTATGATTACAATATCATACATTACTCTTTGCCGTGACAGTTTGACATTTCAAGATTTTATATATTTTTATCTTTAATTTCATATATTTATGTTAAAATTAAAATTTGTTTATTTAATATTGACATATTAAAATTTTATTGTCAAATACTTAAATGAATTTTTGAAAAATTGAGAGTATACAAATTAGTTTTAATTAAATTTATGTAAAAATAACTTTATAGTAAAATTTTCAAAAGAGTAATTTTTATTGTAAGTGTTTTACCCTTATCTATAACTATATTTAAAGGAAATCCCAAATGACTTCTTGCTTGACACTTGCTTAGTACCATCTCTGCTCTAGCAAGTCAATGGCAAGCTTCCCAAAGCAATGAAACTTGTTGAGAATTCTTGAGAGTTTCACACATCAAATCTTCACATTTCATGCTAAAAATAAAAAACCAAACATTAATATTTTTATTTTTTATTTAATTAGTTATGATTTTCAAATCTATAATTATATTTAAAAGAAGCCTCAAAGGGCTTCCTCACTTGACACTTGGCAATGATATTGTCTAAAAGAGGAAATCAACTATAAAGCCTAAATCCAATAACTAATTACTTTGTGAGAAGTTCACTTATAAGTGAAATGACATTTATACTGGTTTAACTATTTGACAATACTAATTACTCTATTAATCTCATTTCATAAATTTATTAATAATATAAAAGGAAAATTCTTGACAACTAAATAAATTAAAATCAATTAAATCCAAAATATTAGTTTGCTTACTTATATGTTAGTATTTTTTTAGGTAAAATGCCCTAACTTTTTAAATTTTGATCGAAATTACATAGAGGCTCATTAGTTTTTAACATGAGTACTCTACCTCAATACTACAAACACGGTTAATAAAACTAAAGAAACGACTAAAATATTATTTTTTTATTAATTTAAAAATTATTATTATATTTTAAAAAAATAGAGAGCACCAATCGTTGTTCCCCAGCTCCCCAAGAAAGAGAATCATTGATCAGTGCTTCCAAGGGAAGTGAGCCCCGATCGATCTCCCAACGGGAGCACCTGGTGCTCCTAGGGGAGATTTGGTGCTCCCTAATGGAGATGGTTTTTTTTTAATTAATAAAAAACTAATAAATTATATAATTGTAATTATCAAAATTAATCAAAGGTAAAATTATCTTTTTACTTTTACCATGTCAGCAAGTTGACGAAAATATTAACAGTTGACTAATGGCTAGACCGACGTATCCAGTGAAAAATATTTTTTTCAGATGGAGTGTTCATTTCGAAAATAAATAGACTTTTTTGTAATTTCAATCAAAACTTGAAGGGTCAGGATATTTTACTTTATTTTTTTTATGATAGCTATATAATACACAAATCTCATAAAAATTTCAAACGAAGTGATTTCAAAGTTTTTTACTTCATTTAACAGTTAAAAAATATGTTTCCTAACACACATAAAATTTGACATTACAAGAATATCTCATTTCAAATTTATCTTATCATCTAAAATTTATAGACATAAACAAAAGGAAAAAGTTGAAAAAAATAAGCAGTAAAAAGATTTTTTTTTTAATTTGTATTGTTATAATATTTTGCTTTATCATCAGCAAACAAGCACTTAACGTGTTATACAACTTCATATCACTAAATCAGCTTAAATATGAAGAAATAAAATAAAAATAATTACATGCATTTTAAATCACTAAATCAACTTGACTATGAAAAAGCAAAGAAAACACTTACATGCATGTGAGCACCTTATTGAAGCTAATAAATAATCTCATGTAAGCTTTTTACATTAAATTGGATATTGAAACTTAAGAATAATTTAAAAATGATTTGTTATATTGAAAGGAAGTCCAAAGGATTTTTGGCTTAACACTTAATAAGGTTCTTGGCTTGATATGTGGTTGTTGGGGTGTGGGCATGAGGTCTAATGAGATTGGTTTGTGGTTAGGTTTTTGGGCATGAGCTTGAGGTCTTAGATTAAGTTTGGATTAAATAAATTTTTCTTTGACTTTTTATATGTGAGTATTTATAAAAAATAATTTTTCTTTATTCCATTATTTATCACTCCCATATCATGTTTTAATGTTAAATGTAACTAATGTAAAGGGTACATATTTGCTAGCTAAAGATAGGGTTTTGAAAGAAATTAAGTTACTACGTATTCTATTTTTCTAGTGTTAAATGTAACTAATATAAAGTGATGAATATCAATTAGTTAAAAATAGAGTTTTGAAAGAAATTATGTTACTGCATATTATATTTTTCAATGTTAAATGTAATTAATGAAAAGTGGTGCAGTTCAATTAACTAAAAATAGAATTCTAAAAGAGATTGAGTTATTACATATTTTACCATAAGTTTGGAAATTTTATTTAAAATTTAGTCTTTTTGTAAGATTGCTTATAAATGTGTTCTTATATGAAAACACCACCACAAATACCACAATAATAACTACAATAATAATTGTTATATATTTTATAAAATGATATTTATAATAATATAATTACTATTACATATGTATTTCATAAAATATTTCTCACTCAATTAAAAGAAAAATTTACTAGTCCAAATGCATCACACAGGCAACAAACTAGTTATTGTTATAGATTTACATCAACACTTGTAAACGCAAGATATCTTGACCCATTAGACTTATAAAAGCAACATTTGTAATAGCAGCATTTTTAAAATTAACTTTTAAAGATAAGATGTTTTTAAAAATAACCTTCAAGATAATTTTAACTGGTTTTAGCTAAATTGGATAAAATTACCCTTAATAAAATTATACGTTATGATGTTACACGCCATGTATAATAACATGTTATACGCTATGTTGAAAAAAAATACTGTTATTACACGCTATGAATAAAAACATGTTATATGTCGCAGTTAAGTTGTTACACGTTATATTGAAAAAAAAAATCGTTACACGCCATGCACAAAAACATGTTACACATCATAGTTAAAAAAAGATGTTACACGACCTGTTGAAAAAAAAATATTATTGTTACAAGTAGGCTTATCAAAATGGACCTGACCCCATTTTCTATTAAATGTGGGGTGGGCTGAGTTAGAAAATTTTGATCCATATTGAAATCGGGCTTAAATGGGTCAACCCACCAAATTAGTAAGTTGATGTGGGTTGGGGCAGAGTTAGCCCTATGGGTCAAATTTTTTTTAATTAATTTAATAATTTTATATATTTAATTATGTAAAATTAATAATTTAGTTACCAATAGTATTTTTTATCTTATATATTTCAATATCTTTAATCTTCACTTGTCAAATTAAAAGTTTTAATTTAGATTAAAACTTATTAACTCTTTTTTTTTTATGGTGATGAATATTAGATGATAAATTGATAATGATTCAGACCTTGAGACATCATTGCTGTTTAAATAAGATTTAAATTTTTTACTTGAGAATGAGGATTGAGTAGGATATAAATGAGTTTCGAAATTTTTATTATTTGATTATATACTTATGTTTATGAGATAGTAGTTTGTGTTAAAGATTTAAACTTTATTGTGTAATTTATTTTTTTTATATTTGGTGTAATTTGTTTATTTGTAACATGTTTTTATTATTCAATTTACGAATTAAATTATAGAACAATTTTATTAATAAAAAATTTATCAAGTAGAATTATAAAAATTAATTTTTTTTAAAAAAAAATTGACTGACCCAATTCAACTCATGGACTAACAAAGGATGAGCTGGGTTGAGGTTTTAATGGCTCATATAAAAAATGGACTGGTCCAGTCCAATTCATATTTTCTCAACCAACAAGGGCTGGGTAAGGTTGGGCCGAGTCAGCCCATATTTACAGCTCTAGTTACATGTTATATTGAGAAAATATTGTTACATGTTATATTAAAAAATATTTTATTATATTTTAATGTCTAAAATGTTATTGTTACTTACTAACCAAAATTTCAAATCCTTTCAACTTTCATCATTTTTTTTTGTTTTTGACAATTTGGCAACGATTAAAGTGTTTTTAACATGTTTTCATAAATCAAAACACAAATTTTCTTATCTAAAACACTATTTTGACTAAAAATAAAAAAAAATTCATTTAAAAATTTAGGTTTATAAATTTTAAAATTTTAAGTTTATTAGTGTCTAAGTCTTAAATTGATCGAATTAAAAGGTATTTCAAACATCTATGATCATTTCTATAATTTTAATTTTATCTAAAATACTTAAAATCAAATTTCTCAAATAACTATTCAGCCAAGTATATCAAAATTATCACTTGGTGTCTTAAAAGCTCAAAAAAGAAAAATTTAAAAATGTAAGAGAAAGAAATCAAGAGCTGAGCATAACATACGATTGTAGAAAAAAAAATCGATAAAATAAAAGAAAGTGAGATAGTGAGAAAAAAAAAAATGAAAAAAAAATAAAAAAAATTATGATAAATAATTTAATTTATTTAAAATAATTTTAAAAATATTTTTATTAAATTATAATTAAATATAATTAAAAAATTAAATTTATTTTGATGATTATTTTTAATCTAAATTACCTTTTTAACGGACGGTAAAGTTCAGACTTTTAAAAGTGAAAAAGGGGAGCAGCCACAGAGCGAGCGACGAAGATAGGGATGGTATCGACGGTGGTGAAGAGCGCGTTGCAGGCGATCCGAGAGAAAGGTCTCCGCACTTTCTTAAGGGAGCTCAAGGAAGATGGCTACACGTACGTAATTCATTCTATTCCTTTCTTTTTTGTTTTTTTTTCAAACTTCTATTAATTCTTCGATTAAGAAATGAAAAACCTTTTTTACGTTATTCTTCTAATTGGACATAGTTACTAATTGCTCATTTGTTCTCTTTCAGGAAGTGCATCTTAGGCGGAAACCTTCTGTAAGTCCAATTCTCTTTCTTAACAATCTCTCAGTTCTTGTTTACTTGAAGATTTCTTCTCCCTTTTTTTTTTTCAAAAAGAAACAAAAATAGATTTAGGAGGTAATTAAAATTGAAATTTTTATCTAATTATGATTAGGATAATTTGTAAGTAGGGTTTGAATTCTTGTGCAGCCACCTTATCAATTGGGTTTCGCAATCCGATTCTTTTTTTTTTCTTTTTCAGGAGATTTGAATAAACTGAAAAATGAAACTTTAGCAATTGTAAGTTAACAAATCGAAAATGACTTGCAATCCACTTGATTTGGAGGGAAAAACATGGAGTTGGGAATACTATCCAGGTTCAGTGAAAGGTTTTTGATTGGACAATTCTAAATCTACAATTTAAAAGATTCTGGTGGCAAAGAAGAATTCAGTGGCTGCAGGAAAAATAGTGGGGAAAAAAGGGGAACGAGTTTGTTCTTAGAAACAGAATTTGATGATAATCATGGCTAATAAAATTCTTTTAATCCTTAATTCTTTAGAATCATCAGGATTTGAATCCCAGCTCTCTTGAGTCTAATCCATGTTACCAGCATTGCATATGATGGGAAGAAATGAATTTTGCGAATTTTGCCTCTGGTAGTTTTCTTGGTTGTGAAGAAGCTTAAACCCTGACTTACATTCAAGGTAGGAGACAAGTAATGTGAGTAGTTTTTGGTGAATATGGCTGTATTGGTGTGAAGAGGATTGCCATGATTGTGCTGGCTTTGAATTACTATTAACTGTTTCATCAATTACAATTATATACAATCAGGTCCAAACTCTTAACCGGGCATTGTCTCTTGGCACTTTGGAACCTTGTGAGAAAGATAAAAATGTTTGTAGCACTTTGCAGTGTCAGCTAATGTATTGTACCCTGTGTGCTTTATATGACTTCAGACCTAAGGATATGATAGTTTCATCCATACCATAAACCTCAAGAAATCGGACCTTTTCAATGTCTTCCACCTCAAAGACGTTAAGCAGAAACTTTTTAGCTCTTCCATGAGTGGAACATCTCATATTTAGAGACAATTTGGTGTTCTTTCATTGAAAGTGACATCTTAGGTTGCTTTTGGACACATACATTAATGTTAGCCCTAATATCTGTATCTGCGTGAATCTGCAAGACTAGCATTATTCTTCTTCTGAAAGAATCTTCCACTGTTTCATTGCCCAAGAAAATGGCTTGTTGATTATTCTTCACATCGAACTTGGTCTCACTTTTTGTTGTTTGGTGCCATCTTCTTAAGAATGAATTCCTGAAGTATCTATGGTATTTTGTGAGAAAGCTCATATAATTCTAATTAGTCTCTTTTATTTTCTGGTCTCAAAAGACATGTTTGTTGCTGCAATGGAATTTTATTAGGCTACTTAAGTTTCTTCGCCCCAATCTACATCATTGTTCACTGTGAACCCTTGTTAAAATATTTATATGCACAGACATTTGACTATATGTTTGTGTATATATCAAAACGTTTTACCATTATGTGGACAAGCTAAATTTAACTGAAGCTGAATCAAAAACAAGCATAATTAACCTTTAGTTGGTTGATTGCCTGAAAACTAGTTAGAAAAGAGAACACTAAGCATGTATGGTTAGGTTTCATTTGTATGTTCCGTTCTTTGTTGCTAATTCCATTGTAGAGACTTTCCTGCACTGATGTGGTCTAGACAGCCTTTTGTTTATAGATTAGCTGCTATTATTTTGGCATTCCTATGTTTATTATTTTCTTCTAGTTTGCTATTCTTTTTTTTTCTAGAATATAACTTGATTTTTTGTTTTATTTTATTCTTAATTTTAGTTCTTCAAACCTCAGGACTTTTATTTATTGTTGTCCTTTATCCATATAATCCTTGAGTTCTGAAGTTAGTGTGATGTATATTCATCATGATTATAAATTGAATCTTTGATAGAAATTTTCTGGTTTGATCCAGGCAAACCAAAATCCATAACATAGGGGCTACACTTGTGGGTGTTGATAAATTCGGCAATAAGTATTATGAGAAACTTGGGGACACACAATCTGGTTTGCTTTCCTTTCTCTTTTCATATAATGTTCATGTTGAAAATGCACTACCAGTAGTGAATGGTGAAAAAGAGTTGTGTTCTGAAAATTATTGCTAGAAGGAGAACTAGATGATTCATTTCTGCACTATTGAGCTTTAAATATTTGAATGCCTTAAAATAATCAACAAGATTGTCCCTTCACCTGGATTCTTGAGATTATTGGTTTTCATTTTTCCTTGTCTTGCATGCATGCATGGATGTATTTACTTATAGCAATCAACTATATACAAACACTAAACACTGTCTCTATGAGTGTAGTTACGAGAGGTCATTGTCGCTATTTATGTTTATGACTGATGCATACTATGTAATGGCATTCATAGGAAGACATAGGTGGGTTGAGTATGCAAAGAAGGATCGTTATGATGCTTCTCAGGTACCACCAGAATGGCATGGTTGGCTTCACTACATAACTGATCATAAAGGAGATGAGGCAAGTCCTGTTTTGACTATGTCATATTACCTAATGAGGAAAATGTGCTGATATATTTGGTTTTTTGCAGCTTTTGATGCTAAAACCTAAGAGGTATGGAGTTGAGCACAAGGAAAACTTATCTGGTAAGGGTAATGAGTTTATCTACCATTCTAAAGGACATGCACTTAATCCTGGTCAGAGAGACTGGACAAGGTACCAACCTTGGCAGCCAACCAAGGCTGAGTAATCTTGAAAACCAGTGTTCTGTTGACTTCGCAAGCTCTGGAATTCTCAGTTTGCTTTTGATGAATAATTTCCTGTATTTGTCTCAAACGATAGTTTTTATGCATCTGTTTACTGCAAGAAACTGCAAATTGTCAACTTGATATTGGATAAATGGAATTTAATTTGGATATTGTCAATAAGTTGTCTTCACAGCTTATCATCTGATCTTGTTCTGCAACATGCATAGGTCCTCTTCTTCTCATTTTCAATCTAGAATAATGTTTAAGTTTATACTGTCGAATCTGGAGAGACGGGGAAGAACTGTAAAATGAAGAAGGTGTACCGTGGTTACCGTGTCATTAGCAGTATTTCTCATCCATGATTATACCAGAGGCCTTAAATTTTTGTAGTATGTTCAATAACTTCAATGTGAATTCACCCTGCTTCTCACTAGTTTTCTATTTGGGAACTAAGGGGGATGCCGATTTGGCTTACACGGACACTGGGCACTCTCTGTAAGAGCTGCATTTGTGTTTGTGTTTGTGTTAAACCCATCGGGAAAGCTTCAAACTGAAGCTCAATCATATCAATGATGCCAATCTAACCTTTTGTAAGTATGTTCCTCCATCCTTAAGTCTCTGCTATGTCACATCGACCCCCCATATAAGAAAAGTGACATAACACATTTAATTTCTCATTTTTGACTGCCAAATTTAGGAGAAGTGAATCTGTTGCTTATAGTATCTTTTCAGTCCTCATCTGACTTAAATGTAGACTCCAATAATAATTACTAATGCAACTTTATATCATGTTTACAAAAACAACTTTAAGTTCATTGATTTTTTTTTTTAAAAAAAACATATTTACAATGCCAAATTTAAAGAAAAAAAACATTTTATTCTCTTATTATTCTGTAAAATCTAATCAAAATTATCAAGATTCACAATTAAATGATAAGAGTAGGCACCTCAAAAGGGCAAAAAAACTTGAGGAAATTTGTGAAGGAAACACCAAAACCAAGCCTTTCATCCTAATCCCAATAATCAAATTTACATTTTTTAACTGTAAGAATTTGAGATTTTAATTTGAAAATTTATAATACAAATTGTAAGATGAGAGTATAATTGAGTGAGATTCAAAGAAGTGGATTAATTTTCATTATATTACCCAAGGTCACATGTAAATAATAATAAAAGAAACTAGCATAATAGCATTGTAAATTAGAGTGAGTTACTTGTAGAACTGAAAGTCTAAACCAAAATATTTAGGAAGTAATCCCAATTGGGCCAGGCCCAACTTTTAACATTATAATCACTGAACAACGAACATTATAGTTTGAGCCCCTTTAAAATATAGTAGGATCCGAGTTTTAGGGTTTTGGGTACACAGGGAAAGCAAGAAAGAGAAAAACAAATGGCGAAAAGTTTCAACGAAGTTCAGAAGCAGAAGAGAGTACAAAGGGCAGAGAGAAAAAGAGCGAATCATGGAGATCCCGCAACTAAGAAGCTTAAGCACAAATCCCAACCACTCTCCCTCTCTGGCAAACGTCAGCGCAAGCTTCTCAAGAAATGGCGCAGGGTATGTGTATAAACTTCTTCCATGACAAATCTTTTGGTTCTATGTGCTAATTGGTTTTCTTGGAGATAATTATTTGGGTATTTCTGTAATTGAAGGAGCAAAAGGAGGCCATCGAAAAGGGTTTGGTGACTATGGAAGATGTGGAAATGGTGGCTGCTGAAGGTATATTTGTTGACTCGTTTTTCTGGGTTTTTTTTTTTCGTTTTTTCATTTTTAGTTGTAATTCGAACTTTAGTGGTTGGTTACATGCGAGTTTTACAGTTTAATGCATCGATTACTCTTGTAATTGATACTAATTCTGAGTTAGATTCTGTAAACTGTTATGGTGCATGCTGTCTATTTTCAAGGCTGAAAGTAACAGAACTAAACTTATAGAAAAAATTGTACGTATTGGAATTTTTCAAGTATACCCACTAACTCATATCATAAGTTTTTGGAGAATTGTTGTGTACTGTATTTTTTATCAAGTCAGCCCAATCCTTCATCCTTATCTGTATTATATTGGTTGTAATTGCCTGGTAGAGGGTCTATATATGAGTCTGGTTTGCTCTTTCTGTCATCACTAATGTTTAGGAGTCTCGCACGCCATATTGATTTTCTTCAATCTAGTGGCTGCCCACTCATTTTTGTCTGAATCTCAATTAACTTAGACCAAACAGCATTATGAGCATGAAGGTAGCAAATTTTCACCACTCGTGTTATTATGGGTTTCGAAGCTTTAACATGAAACTGCATGTGAAGCTGGGTTTTCCTGTTTAGAAATAAGCTTTTTCATGCTGCGTTCTGTAAGACCAGTTTAGTAGCATGATTGCCTTCGCTTTGCGCTTTAATTTGAAGTTGGTTCCTTATACAGGTACATCTCAAGATGCAGGCACATCCCAAGATGCCAACAAAGTGCCTCCAAAATTTCACATGAAGAAGAATTTGAAGGTCAAACGCATAAAACGAAAAGGTAAGGTTTGTTGCTTTATGATTTTAGGTTTTGGTTTGAGTTCTTTTCGTCCCAAACAAGTGTTTATTAAGCTTTATTTTGCTCCTTGAACAGGAAAAGCCAAGAGTCCTAAGCAAGCCATTGAAGCTTCCGGAGATGCCATGGTAGAATAGATTGAGATGAAAAAAATAAAAATCAAACTCAAATTTTGTGAACTCAAGCTATTGATGGGCTGGAGAACTCGATACTATAGCATGTTGTTGTGTAGAGATAGGTTTTTGAAGGAAATTTGATACCTAATGCATATCGTTTCATTTGTAACATCTATGCTTTGTTCTCAAGTATCCTCACCAGTAATGAGCCTTCCTCGAATGGGAATTTTGAAGTGGCAATCAAGAAAATATCTTGGGCATTTGAGAATTGAAAAACTAAATCAAACCTTGAGTTCAAATTGCCTCAATCCAATATTTGATGGTAATTGGTATGGCTTGATTTATCTCAGATCCTGTTCTTTGATATGCATATGGGATGTTCAAATTGAATTGCATCGATATTTCATGGTAATTCATGCTTTGTTATTGTATAAAGTTTAACAAAGTTGAAAATAGGTCAAACCAAAAGGGTATCGGCAATGGCTAAATTCGCTACTATGCATTGGGGTGTCCAATTATACTGAAACACAAAAGGTCAAAAGTATAAATTACGAAATTAGAATAATTTATAATAGAGAATTATTGGTCTCAAATGAACCTTGCATTGGCAAGAAATGAAAATCTGACACAAATTGTGTTGTCTAACATGCACACTTTTGCACCCACTCAATCATTTTGTAAATTGCTCTCCCTTCACTATATCGAGTATACGTGTTTAAAAATTAAATATCCTAATCAACCCTGAAATTGCAGCATAAACTACACTTCCCTAAAGTTGAATTCAGTGTCTACTGAATGTATGCAAGGGAGTACAAATGTAACCCACAACTGTATTCTTGCACAATAATTTGGAGACCTTCTCATAAATTTAATTATCTCGAATTCAGTCAAACATATTGGGAAGGGGTCTTACAGCCATAAATGCATCCACCATCTGGGAGAAGACAAGGAAAGAGTTCACTATTAGTTCTTAATCTTGATGATCGAATTACTTCGGATTAGAAAGATCCACATATCAACCGAGTAATCCTTACTAAGCAATGTGAGAACATACCTCATCCGTTACTGCTGCTCGAGCCCTGCGATGTCTTTCTACTAGTTCAGTCAAAACTTCAATAAGTCGCTTTTTCACCTCACCTGTTAGCATGCGTCCCGCGCCATACTCCTAGCAGATTATGAGTAGAGAAGGAACCGAGTATTTATTAGTTCTTTCACAAAAATTTAAAACATGCAACATTTGATGAAGGCAAAATTCAATTATAGAGGTAGCATATGCAACCCCAAAAAAAAAAAAAGAGAAACAAAAAAAGGGAACCTGACAGTTAAAATGAACGATCAGACAACAATAAAGTACAACAGCAGAAAACTAGATGAAACCACTCAAGGCAGCAAGCTTACCTTCTTTATGTGCTCAAGTTCAGCATCATCCTCAAGGAAAAAGTTAAGATATTTAATTGGAATATCTACCTGAAACCCATCCAAACAAAATAAACATTTTACTGTCTAGTATTTCAGGTACATCCTGGCTACAAAACAAAGGAGACAAAAACCAAATGAGGGAAACTAAGAGGTAACATCCTCTGCTAAGATAAATCCTAAACATACACCTAAATAAATGCATAAATCTCTCTCACAGTCACACAAACACATCCACCAATCCTAGATCCAATTGCTTTTACATAGCTAAACAAGCACTGGATAGATGCAGAAATCTATCCTGTGTGTTTGTGTGCCATTTGCATCTCTATGTGTGAGTGTCTGCATGGTTGGTGCAGCAAATGCATCTAATGAGGAAGTCAAATCACCATCCCTGAATGGTGATAACATTATAGAGAAAAACCTCACTGATAAAATTGAAACTTAAAAACTAAGCAGAAACTGGCAAGAAAAGTTCATCTGATATCTTAACAAGATAAAGGAACACAAATTCAATACCTCAAGATTTGCTCCATATTGTCTGTGTTTTTCTATGGATTCTTGCCCACCAGTGAATGCATGCTTGTTTACCTTGAAGCTCAAATACAAATTACAGCATGTAGAGAGATTGATCAGAGCAAGTAATTAAATAATAATATATTTGATATTTCTCTTTACTGTAAGCTTTCCTCATAATGAGTCCTCCAGTCACAAAATAGGTGCAACAAATGCAACACCACATGGTTATCACTTATCAAACAGGACAAATACCCTAAAACCACTTAAAAATTGCTAGAAAATGAATTGAGAAAAAAGAAATTGATATGATGATTAAAAGAAAGTGGAGTGCAGAATTTGCAATAATGCAGTAAAACTAGAGCAAATAAACAAGCACTAGAAGATGGGATCCAAGATTATTTACAGGATCCAATCTAAAGGATTTATGAATCCAAGAAGCTAATCTGAAAGCGCTACATGAGACCCAACAGCAATTAGACTGACAATCTCCAAACATGTGCTTCAGAATAGAATGAAGAAAAATATTCTACCAATTTTTAGAGTACAAAACATGACTAAAACTTCTCTTAATGAACCATGAGGACATAGATATCTTGGGATATATCCATAAGGCACAAGATGCATATATTTAAACACAGCAAGGATTCGGTAAACTCCCCATCACAACAAATATGACAGGTTGACCAGTATACTAAAAAAAAACAGGTGGTCAGACATATATCATTGGTGTCTAGCAAGTTAAAAAGCCAAGCAGAAGGATGAGAAATGTCATAAACAAACCTTGTATTTGATGTCCTTTGCAGAATCTGTCACATATATTGCAGAATTTGGATCACTAGCTGACATTTTTCCTGTCTCTCCCTGCAATTATGCAGGTGTAGCAGAATTATTGTGGCTAATGTTTCCACTAAAGAATGATTACAAGCATATGATTCTATAGAAAAGCTTAGGATTGAAAACGGCATCACATTCAATTTTCGACTGCCTAAATTCATGTCTGAGGTATCTCACATAAATATCATTTGACGTCAATGAAATGATTAACTAAAATACATGATGGTAGTGTTCAGAAAAATGTTCCAGACAAGCCTAGCAAAAAAACCTATACCATGTACTCACAGAATGTGAAACATAAAATTTTGTGACAGTGAATGCAATGCATAATGTAGAAAAAACATGCAATTTTTTTAGCTCCCAACCTGAAATGAAATATCAAGAAAAAACAAATCATTTCAAGGAAATTAGAGTAAAATAACAAGTCCATCATTGCTTTATAAATTCATATAAAGAAGCTACAGTAATACTTCTTTCGCTTTAAATTGCAAATAACAGAACAACCCCTAAGCATTACTATGTAAAAGATCAATGACAAAGAAAAAGAAAAGACAAAATAAAAGAAATTCAAACCAACACAGAGGGGTATACTATCAAACTTTGGCCACTTAATGCAACAGACCTTGTTTGCAAACTTAAGGGCATAAATTTATGTTACAGGAAATAATCCAATTGCGGTGGCTTGTCTTTATCCAGCAAACATAAACAGAATCTTATGATGAATTTATCTGTATACAATTATCCACAATAATGCTACTATGCCAACACAGTTTACCTGGAGAGCAGGGAAGAACAATGATTCAATCAATGCAGGCTTGTGACACCCTATCCGAGGAGCAACATCCCGTGTCATTCTGAAATATGGATCCTGAGCACATCAACACGCATAAACAATAAAAATATTTGAGAAATAGACCTGCATACAAACAGAGCTAGAAAGAAAAACCAAGGGAAAGGGTCGAAGGAGAACCGTTCAGAATAAGCAGGGTAAACACCATTTTTATACCAATTATAGACAAATGTTTAAATAATGTATTTTGATAAATCTAGAATTACTTGGCCTTAAGGTTTAGTTTAAGTTACACAGGGACAAGGCTACGAGGCCCAACATCTAAAATTGCACCAATTGTCACTGTTTCACAAATGAAAGGAAGCATTTTAGACAAATATTTAAAAATTCATTTTGATAAATTTTAGAATTACTTGCGCTTAAGGTTTAGTTTTAATTGCATAGTGACAAGGCAACAAGACCCAACATCTAAAATTGCACCAATCATCACCGTTTCATGAATGAAAGGAAATATATAAAGGCCATTATAGTACATTTTTTAAGTTTGCAAACTACTCACAACTGTAATAAGATGCATAGATGCTGTGGAACAATACATAAAAACTAAGACCTAACATTTTATCACTTATAGAACCATATCCTCTTAACCATTTTTCCAATAAGAATGAATATGCTCCAGTTATATAATAAAACTGAACAGAACCTAAACACAGTACTGAACCTGGTCAATGGCACATGGAATCAGACAACGTAGATCATCCTTGCCGGAGAATAGATGTGGGAATGAAGAGGGAAATGATGGAACAGCCTGCATCAACAGAATATAAGCACAACCATCACACAGGCATATATTTGACAGAAAGAGGTTGTGAAAAACCAAAGCAACTAATTTTTTCCATAATTCTTGATGTGCCACATTAGATTTCCTCATAAGTGGCCAATAGCTACATTTTAAAGAAAACATTATATAATTATGAACAAACTCTGAAGCTCAATCAAAGCAAAAGGACCAATAAAATAGCACAAAAATGAAAGATAACATCGCTATGACCACACACATAAAAGTCATCACTAGCCAGTAAATAGTGAAGCAAAGAAATATACCTGCACAGGTGGAAAGCTAACTTTTCCAATATGATCCTCACCAGTGAATCCAAATATACCAACAACCTAAACATCACCAGAAAGGAATGCAATAACTCAAACAATGAGGTCAAAGGCTCTCCAACCATTAGAGGGAAAAGGATTAGAAAAGAGAGAGGTGGTGATTAAGCACCTTGTTGTATGTGACACACTTGGCAACTTTGACCATATTTTTGTAAAAGGCACTGCAAATGTTTTTTTTTTAAAAATCATCATTAAATAGCCTCCAAAGGGTACTCCACAACAAAATCAAAAAGAAATGCTTACAAATCCTTGGTGTTTTCTTACCCTCCAACATAATCAAAGTCCGAGAATATGAATGTCTTTGATATGTCAAAACCACAAGCAATAATGTCTTTAGCATTCTCGCGGGCAAGTCTTTGGCTCTCCTCCACAGAAAGATTTTTCCACATGCACTTCTCATCATCAGTAAGCTGTATAACAAGAGGAACCTTGAAGGCATCTTGAAGGTATCTGCAATAAACATCATGTATGGACCAAAATTAAGGGAATTAAAAATATATGATCAACTTTCAGAAGCACTAAAACAACAGATTTATGTTGCCAAAATGAAAAAAAAGAAAGAAAAGATTTTTTCTTTTTCCTTTTAACTCTCGCCAAGACTACAAAACCAATTCACAGCCACGCATTTGGAGCGGTTACTAGAATCTATGATCAAGAAGCTTTCAATAAACTTTGCCTTTTTAGAAATGGGTAACACAAATAACAACTGAAATTTATCGACAATGACAAAACTTCAAGTATTTTAGTTGTTACTTCTATTACTTGCTTCTTACATCCCCAATTTATGTTATATAGCAAAAGTAAAATGTATTTGGTTCAATATGAGCAAAAGGCTAAATATAAAAGCAAAAAACTTCAATTCATAAATTAATTACTATACAAACAAGCTATAATCATATTCCTAGTAAACATTCAATTCATAAAGTTATACCCAACGGCAAAAACTTCAATCACTTTATCATTAATTACATTTTTGTTTACAATAATTAAGATGGAAATTCCGTTCATTATACCAAATGGTTAATTAAAAAAAAGAAAAAGAAGTTACTTGGTAAACATAAAGGGAATCAAATGGCCCAAATGCAAAGCTTCAGAAGAAGGTCCTCGTCCGGTATACAAATAAAACTTGTCCCCTCGCTCGTAGGCATCCAATATCTCATTCAAATCTCGATGGGCGAAGAAGACGCCACGGCGGAGGAAGACGTGAGGAGGACAAGAAGTGAGGCGTTGGACGCGGTCGACGAAGGATTGATCGAGCCTTTGGCAGCCGAATTTGTCAATGAGCTTGTCGTAATCGATCTTTCCGCCGTCTTTGGCTGATACTTCCCATGGATTCACCACTTGCTCTTCTTCCTGCTGCTGCTGATCCTCTTTCTTCTCCATTTCGGCTTTCACTGTCCGTCACCAGTGAGGAAAGAAAGGAACTGACGTTTCACGCTACTAGGTTAAGGCAACGGCTAAAAGAGTGACAATTTCATTCTCTGGATAAAATTGACAAATTACTTTACTCCTCTCTAGTGTTTTATTGTTGAGGTTTTGTTTGGAAATGAGATTTAATGATTTTAATTATCAAGTTAATTTTAAATAAAAAATAAGTTATATTTTTATCATTTATTGCCAATTTCATATTTATCTTATTTTTCTCTTGGTTTTTTGTCCTTGATTGTTTATTTATTATAAGATTTAGTAAGTTATAAATACGGTTGAAATATTTAATTAGCTTTCAAATAAATAATCTTTAATTATTATCAAATTAAATAATTAAGTTAAATTATTACTCAATTATGTATTAAATATATTAAACTACGGTTTGAAAAGGCAATTGTTATTCATTATGTTTTATTGAATAAACCTTATTAATTTGAAAACCATTTTTTTATTTTTTATAAAATAATTAGTGTTTAGATTTCATTAGTCAAACTAGAATTTGTTAAAAATTTACGTTTTTACTAAAAATATCCTACTTTTTTTTTATTTTTTGTTGTTTTAACCAATTTCTTTAGTACTAAACTTTTATTTTTCAAATTAATAGTAATTATTTCATTTTAGCCAAAGATAATTTAAAACATTTGTTTCAAATTAATATATAATAGATATAAAGATAAGTTTAAAATATCAATAGGTAATTGAATTAGAATATAACCTAAGTAAAATTTAATTCAATGGTGTTTAAAGATGATTTTAAAATTAATTAAACATCAGAATTAACGAAATTTTATAATTTTATAGTACGAAAACAATTAAGTTAAAGAAAAAAGAAAAGTTGAAAATACATAAATAAATAAGATATATTTATCTTTTAATTTAAAATTCACTTAATAATAAATACTATTATAAAGTTATTCCTTTTTGAGATAAAAATTGTTTTGTTACAATCGTAAACCGTGTCATAGTTTACACTTATTTCCAAACAACCAGTCCCAACTATGGCTATCCAATCACTGATAGCCACCGTTAGAGCCAGCACCAACTCTGCACTCTTGTCTTGTCTGACTTGCCTCTTCTTAACACTCCCTTTGTCTCTCTTACTATCAAAGGATTGGAAATGGCGGAGAGCGGCTGCGTCACCTGCGGTAGCACTGACCAGAAGATGATCTCAGCCGACGAAGCTCTTCAAATTGTGCTTAGTGTTGCCCAGCAACTGCCATCTGTCACCGTCCCACTTCACCAAGCTCTCGGAAAAGTTTTGGCTCAAGATATCCGTGCTCCTGACCCTTTGCCTCCTTATCCAGCTTCAATCAAGGTTCCTCACAAAATCCGAACTTTCTTTTTTTTAAAAAAAAAAAAACAAAGGAAAAACCATTTTTGAGCAGATATAGAAAAACCATTTTTGAGCGGATATAGAAAAACCATTTTTGAGTAGGTTAAATGGGTTGTTTTATTATGCGTTGATTGATATTTTCAGTTGTATAAATTGAACAGGCACTTGGGATTGCCGTTTTGAGTCACAGTTTTCTAAACAAGCGATTGGGTTTTTTTTTTTTTCATTTAGATTTTATGAAACTTCCTTGGCAGGTTTGGCACTTGGCAGTGATAAAAAGGCATTTTAGGAATTGTGGATGAGGTTATATTTCTGTAACAAAGCATGTTCCCTTGTTTCTAAGACCTAAATTTTGGGAAGATCATACATGGCTAGATTTTTAGTGTGAATTATCCTAATATGCTGAGACTTCCATGGAATATATATGTATATATATAAATATATATGATGCCTTGCAGGATGGTTATGCAGTGGTTGCTTCGGATGGCCCTGGTGAGTATCCTGTAATAACTGAATCAAGAGCTGGAAATGATGGGGTTGGTGTCACAGTGACTCCTGGAACCGTTGCATATGTGACAACTGGAGGTTAGTCTATTGTTCCTGTTATCATATGGACTAAGGGGTCATGCTATGTTCTGCAGTTTGAGGACAATTGTTATTCCATGTGCAATAATTTAGGGCACACTTTGTAATGTGGCATTTACTTACTCTGATTAAGATTATGGATCGGCCTGTCAAATGCTATTTGAATAAAATTAAACAAGTTGGCTGTATAATTGCTTTACTTTGGATGTGTGTTTATCCTAAGTGAATGAACTTTACGCATGTGAAAGCTAGCTGCTGAAAGTAACTTTCCTTAAAATTGAAAACAAATTCAGGCCTTCAGAAGGGAACCAATGTAAGCAAATGAAAAAGAAGCATTTACACAGGATGCTTGTGGGTAAACTATATAAGTCATTCATTTTGAATTAGTCTTCCATTTCATGATGGGATATATCATTTGTATATTATAGATATATCGGTCTTAACATAGCATTGCTTCTTGTATGACCAATTGAGTTGTTGTCTTTTGCTAAATGAACAAGCTGATCTTAAGTATGACCATACATTTCCAAAAATGAGATTGGCAATAATTTACGTTAAAAAAGGGGCTTCTTTTTATTATTTTTGTGGCTCGTAGATTCTCTTTGAGCTTCAAATTTATTTAAAGCATGCTCTTGAAGCTTATATAGTTTTAGCATGGTGTTTTAAACTTTCCTTTTCTCAAAATTTCTCCTTTTTGGAATTTTTTGCCCCTTAGGACCAATACCTGATGGTGCTGATGCAGTTGTCCAAGTTGAGGACACTGAACAGGTTAAAGCTTCTTCAGTTGAATCAAAACGTGTAAGGATATTGGTGCAAACTAGAAAAGGTGTTGATATTCGTCCAGTGGTATGACATCATTGGTTCCTCTTTCATCGTCTACTTTCCTCTTGCTCTTTGCTACCTCCTCTGTTCCCTTTTGCTGTTAATACTCCGGACCATTCCTCTTCTCTATGATAAATTTTGGCTATTTTGCTACTTCCTCCTCGTCCTTATTACAATGAAGTGAGTCAATGATTCTGAAAATTGAAGTTATATGTTCATGGTCAAAATTTAGTTATCTACAGCCCTGTGGAAGTATTTAAAAGGTATATGGAAAAATTGGTTCTATAGCCGAAGGTCGCAGTTTGAACAGTGCACCTTATTTGAGTTCTCTACTGTGTATGTTTGAGGTGGTTTGTAAATTCCAGATCTGCCCTACTAAGGTTTGTGCTATTGGCCCGATGATCTTAACATGAGTGACTTTACTTAGTTCTCTCTGCAGTTGGAAGTAATTTGCAGCCACATTTTTTGATCAAAACTTTTAAATCTTAATTTTTAACTGAGAGTCCCATTTGGACATGCTAGCAGCCCTTGTAAAACATTATGGTCTCTTAGCTTAGTGGAGAAGAGGAAAGAAGTTAAACTTTTCTGGCTTCTCACCTTGTGTATAACTTGACCTGACTTTGTTTATCTATTGTGGAAAAAAAAAAGGGAAAAAAGAAGAACAACAAGCAAAGCATAGTGCACTTTCCTATAGTTCCAGTTGCGTGTAGTTTCTAACACTTTTCTATTGCATGAACTTGATCTGCAATAACTTCACATTTTCCTGCTTGCTTTTTATCTGAAAGCTCAAACAAGCATCTGTTTTGTAGGGATGTGACATTCAGAAAGACGCACTGGTTTTAAAATCTGGAGAAAGAATAGGTGCTTCAGAAGTGGGACTACTAGCTACAGTGGGTGTTACAATGGTGAAGGTGCTATACTGCCCACTAATTTGGTTTTGATGACTTTTCCATAATCTGAAGGATATGTCTAATTTGCAGGTGCAACCTACGCCAACAATTGCTGTACTTTCTACTGGAGATGAACTTGTAGAGCCCACAACGGGGTCCCTAAGTCGTGGCCAGGTATGGTGGGACTATCTGAGAAGCTCAATGTGAATAGTGTGGATTACTTTTTCAAATCCTTCAGCTTCTCAATTCCCAAGCACCTATCCTGCCTCAAAAGGAGGAAAGAAACAAGAAAAGAAAACTGAATAGGAGGGCTGATGTGATTGGAATAATTATAGAAATATTATTTCAGGAGAAAGAGTTGGAGAGTTTGCGGATGTTAAAATATTGCACCCATTGTGATATTGAGATCATATGTGGTACATAAGTGCGCATGGGGATGCAAGGAAGGAACCCTAGTAATAAGCCTTCAAGGCTCAAATATGCTAGTAGCCACACTTTAATCTGCAGTTATCCTAAGATTAGTCTAATTTGATAAAATTGGCTTTTAAATGGGCCATATTTACGAAATCTAAGGGGGATAATATAATTCTGTCTTTGTTGCTCTCTCAATCTTTTACTGTTGCCCTTCCTTTGTCGATTACCCTCTGCACTCTTGTTTGGATGGATGACCTCCTTTTTTCCTGCACACAACCTACCATGGACATAAAAGTTTCCATTGAGATATCATCTAGGTTGCCTTATGTCTTGTGCAGATTAGGGATTCCAACTGTGCTATGTTATTGGCAGCTGCAACACAGCAACAATGCACAGTGCTTGACCTTGGTATCGTTGGAGATGACAAAGAAGAACTTGAGAGGGTCTTGGATAGTGCTTTTTCTTCAGGGATTAACATTCTTTTGACTTCTGGAGGTGTTTCCATGGGAGATAAGGATTTTGTTAGGCCACTGCTTGAAAAGAAAGGGACAGCACACTTCAACAAGGTCATTTGCCATATTGGTTCCCTTGTGAAAAAAATTGCTTTCGTATAATTTGGCCAAAATGTGCAATCTCTGTGTTCTAAGTTCTAAGTGTATCTTTTCAGCTTTAATAGTTATATGATATCCTGAGCATCATCGAGTAGATGTCTGTGTTAACTTTGTTTGGGTTGCTTTCCTCAACAGGTTTGCATGAAACCTGGGAAACCATTGACATTTGCAGAGATATATTTCAATCAGACAGAGAATGTACCAGTAAACAAAGTTCTTGCATTTGGTTTACCTGGAAATCCAGTTAGCTGTCTAGTTTGTTTCCATCTCTTTGTGGTTCCCGCCATACGCCACCTAGCAGGATGGGCAAATCCACATCTTACGAGGTTGCTGAATCTTCCAGAAAACTGTTCTATTTCTGTTGACATCTGTCCATTGTTAAAATTAATATAAGAGTAAAACAGATTAAGTTGTGACTGTCCTGTTTTCCTTCTATTCATTGTACAGAGTTCAAGCTCGACTTCAACAACCAATAAAGACAGATCCTGTCCGGCCAGAATTTCATCATGCCACTATCAGATGGGAGATTAATGATGGTTCCGGCAATCCTGGGTAAGTTTAGGGTTTTTGTTTTCTTGATCACAGGTCTTTGCATTTTTTAGATTTGTCATTCAGTTATATCATTCTCAGACCTAATTTACCCTTAAGTCTCATGGTTTTTGGCATTTATTCTACCTTAGACACTATTATAATTGTGTTAAGAGGAAATATTGTTTCTTGTGGATTTTAGATTTGTTGCTGAGAGCACTGGTCATCAAATGAGTAGTCGGCTTTTGAGTATGAAGTCAGCTAATGCTTTGCTGGAGTTGCCAGCAACAGGGAGAGTTATTAGTGCTGGAAGTTCTATCTCAGCCACTATAATTTCTGACTTAAGTGATTTAGGTGGTACTACATTGAGAAAGGCTGCTTTGTCATCAGATTCAAGTTCAACTACTGCACTGCATAAAAGTACATTGAGTGAAATGACAGCAGATGGAGCTCAGGATGTTCAGTTCAAAGTAGCTATTCTTACAGTGAGTGATACTGTTGCATCAGGCGGAGGGCCCGATCGAAGGTATATTATTGCATATTGCTTCTTCAAATATTGCATCATTTCTGGAAATAGCTTCCTCATATATGTCCTATAGGGGAATGAGTAAAATCTCAAGAGATTCATTCTTTCTTTTTCCAATTGAAAACCAGATTCCAAAGGCTACAATCATTGACATGGAAAACTTGAATTAGGATATTTTTAAAATCTTTATCATTGACAATATCTGAATTACGGATCTGTTGATAGTTTGGAATTTGTTCGCTTAAATGTTATCTGTTTGAAATTGAAGGTGCTATTGGGCTATGACCACTTGCATTTGGGATTTGTGTTTAATAATCGTCCTTATTTATATACATTTAGAGGCATTTCACCGATAAACCACAACTTATCTACTGATTGTTCAACATCTAATCCTTCTACACTTGTGATCCCTGTATGCTGAAGAGTGAGATTATGAAGGTTATTGTTTACGCAGAAGCATCCAGATACACCACTTTGTTTCAGCTTATCAAAATGGCCACTTTTTGGATGCTCCAGTGATTAAGCAGAGCGTTCCTCTATATTCAAGTTAGATATATGAAATGGGTGAAAGCTTTGCTACAATATAGAACCAAAGGTTTGTCTGGTATTGATCACATACATCCCTGGCTACCTAAATCTCATGACATTTCTTTTCTAATGATGACCTTCAGAAGGGAATGGAATGATCAGGTTCCCAGTTTAAATGCATCTAGATACACCTTTGAATTATTGTTTCATAAAGGTCACATAATCGATGCTAAAGAAAATGAGCAAAGTTGATATTGTCCCGTGCCAGAGCGAGACGTGGGAGTACTTAATGCTTTGCAACAATATTTTAGCAGCAGTAGCATACGGTATTTGCATTTTGAGTCTGAGTAGTTTTTAAGGCATAGTTTCTTCTGTAGTTTTCTTTTATCTTTTCTTTGGTGCATTTTACAAATTTGACCTTCAGCTTACCATCAATAAATGTCTTAGTACTTTTCACTCTTCCAATTTAATGGTTTAGCTATTGAACTCAGACCTGAAACCTTCTTCAAAGTGCACCAATTCAACATGTCTACATTCATAACATGGTCTGTCCTCTATATATAATTAACTGATTTTTAACAATTGCTGCAAGTTATTTGGTTGAAGCTGAAGTAAATATGTATTTGCTGCCACCCACCACTTCCATCTTGTTCTGCTTTGTCACAGGGCTGCATTTCTAATTAGTACATTTGTTTTGTTAAAGGTTTTTCTTTCTTCCCTCTCCCAAATTCTTCCTATTTGTTTATCTAAATTTTGTATAAGAATTTGTAGAATGATATGAAATTGCAGTGGGCCTAGGGCAGTGTCTGTTGTGAATTCCTCATCTGAAAAGTTAGGAGGAGCAAAGGTAGTCTCAACAGCTGTGGTTTCGGATGATGTGGGAAAGATCAAGGACGTTTTGCAGAGATGGAGTGATATTGACAAAATGGATCTTATCCTTACACTTGGTGGGTTTCTTGTCCTTGTCAGTCTCCTTTTTTCTTGGTTGGATATAGACATTTCATTTTTGGTTCTCTTTATTTCACCCTTTTCTCAAAATTGTATTGTCTTCTTTAAGGTGGCACTGGCTTCACCCCAGGAGATGTGACCCCAGAAGCAACCAAAGAGTTAATTGAAAAAGAAACACCTGGTCTTCTGTATGTGATGATGCAAGAGAGTTTAAAGGTAGTAAATTAACTTGTAGCATAGAAATTACTTTAAAACTCGTTTTAATCTTTTTTATCTATGTAATTGTTTTTATGGAAGATGGTTTTGCCTGTTGATTTTATTTTGTAATGACTTGGCCCTGCAAGGAGAGCTGTACATGGGCTGGGCTAGGCCTCTTTCTAATATTAGCAACATTTTATGCTTGCCCAGGTCAGGCTCAGCCTCAAGTCCACTCTTATATCAATTCAATCAAGCTAAACCAGCTCATATAAACCTATATAGCAACATCGAAAAGAATATGTGGTAGATCTAGCTGAAAAACCGAAATACTTATACCCATTTCATATGAGAAAACATTGTACACATTGAATCATGCAAATCTAGCTAATAAAAAGAAGGCCACTACAAATATGGTGAGAGATGAAGGCTCATGGAATGGAAACTTCCTTGGCATGTGTCCAAGCCAGCATAACCATTTGGAAGGCTTGCAGGCTTAAGAGGATATGCCAGTTCTTGGACAGCTTTATTAGCAAGTTGCTGATATGGGGTTGGTGGGTTGCCCTATAATATTTTATGATAATTTGTCAACTTTCTAGCTATGGCATTATTTATTGTACAATAATTCCATATATGATTTGTTGTTTCTTAAGTATCCTATTTAGTTGGCTGCAGTTTATCTCTTAGAGGCTTCATGAAAGGCTTAATATTCATACGGCATTTATATTTTCTCTGTGACATGCAATGATGGGATGGAGATTGTCTGTGCATTTCTCTGCTTGTTGTCAGTTATCAGTTTCTGGGGTATGTTTAAAGAAATTAACAATAAAAACTGTTATGGGGTAGGGCTGCCTCTTTCCTTATAAGATTACATGCTAAATTTTTTCCCATCATATACTGAAAATGGTTGGTTCAGTCAAATTTTCATTCTGAGGAAGCATATTATTACATATATTTTTATCTCTCTATATACATACATTCATTATACACAATGTCATACGACATTCATTGTTTAGTCTTTATTAGAATTTCACCTGTAAACTGACCTCTTCTATCAGTTATGATGATGAAACATTTTTAACCCATTTTCCTGATGGAAGTAGGTAACACCGTTTGCTATGCTGTCACGCTCAGCAGCAGGAATAAGAGGATCAACTTTGGTAAGATTGATGTTATAATTGTTATCCTTGTTGTAGTTGATTACATCATCTAATTTGCTCCATCCTACAGAATTTATATTTAATCTTTGCTAATGTTGTTGTGATAATTTCTTTTTTAAAATTATAACCTAATTGGATAAGGCTATGTTGCTCCGGACTCATGTATGAGTGTTGAATTTGCTGTGTGGGTGTCACTTGTTGATTGACTTAAACTTAAGATACAAGGATAATGCATAAAAGGATCTAAAAGAGGATACTGTACAGTTAAGTGTGATATATTTGCTTAGTTATATGAATTTAATATACTTGATTATAAGGGTTGGTTTCGCTTTAAGTTATTTTTAGAGATGATGGACATGTTGATATGCGTCCATCCAGGGGCAGAGTGTCCCTTTGTAACAGGGGGGGTCAAAATTTTTGAAATTTTTTATATATTATATATTTTTTAATGATTTTTTAAAATAATTTTTTATTAAATAATTAATATAATTAAAAAAATAATAAAATGACTTTACAAACTTCATTCAATTTTACTCAAATTCTTAAATTTTTTTTGATTTTTTAAGTTTCTCCACCCATCTTTCCCTCTTTTCTTTTCTATTCTTGTATTGTGAAATTATAAAAAAGTAAAGTTTTTATTTAATTTTTTCTATTTATATTATTATTATTATTTATGTTTTACAATTATATTCTATTTGTTCATATATTTTAAGTTTCTATAGATTTTTTTTTTAAATTTATACGAATCATCAACCATATATTTTTTTTGTTATATAGGTTATATCTTCTATTTGTCATGGTTTTTTTTTTCTGTTATGTGGATTTTATTTTTAACAATTTTAATTTTTAAAAATTAAAAACTTATTGTATATATAATTCTCAAATATAAGTTCTAGTATTGCATTATTGGTTGTTGTTTAAAATTTTACTAATATATTATTTTTTATTAATCCTAATTATATAAGAAAAAATTATCTTGAGTATATGTTTTTAATGTGCTTTATATTTTATATTTAGTTGAAAAGAAATTATCTTGAGTATAAGAAGAAATTATTAATTCTATATATCGTATTTAATTATTTTTATTTTATGCATTATAATTTAATCTTTAGTATTATAAACTTAAATATAATAAAATAAAAATATTGATGTTGACTACATTAATTTTTTAGTTGATTATATTGAGAAAGACAAGATTTCGAAACAAAATAACTGATAAGTTTCTTACAAATAATTTAGTTGTTTATATTAAAAAATATATTGCCATCGTCAAATAAAACTTTTCTAAAACACTATTATAAGTTTTTTCTTTTTGTTTCTTTTGATTTACATGTTATATAAAATTATTGTCTATTATAAATCTTTTAATTATTAATGGTTAAGTTTAATATATTAATTTTAAAAATTTTTAACTTTTATTCTTCTTAACTTTTGACCCCCCCAATAAAAATTGGCTAGCTCCGCTCCTACGTCCATCCAATGTGGTTTAACTTAAAGTCAGCCTATTGCCTAGTGGAAGTTTGGAATTTCATAGTGGTGTGGTTGGGTACAAACTGAAAAATCAAGCCATGTTATGTGAAACTAGGAATTATTATCTGTACTATTCTTCCAACATGTGTTTCTAATGCTATCCTGTATCCAGATCATCAACATGCCCGGGAATCCTAATGCAGTTGCTGAATGCTTGGAGGCTTTGTTGCCTGCACTTAAGCATGCACTAAAGCAGATAAAGGGTGACAAAAGGGAGAAACATCCCCGCCATGTCCCTCATGATCAAGCTACCCCTGTGGATACCTGGGAGCGCAGCCATAAGTTGGCCTCAGCTGGTGGTATTGAACCCACTTGGTCTTGTTCCCATTAATATTTCTTTTTCTTTTAGGAGAAGAGAGCAATTATCTTGAAGGTAAATTCCATTCACTCTTTTTGTGGTTTCAATAATTCTCACATAATACTTTATGATTTCTTTTTTCTCAATTACAATGAATGACAAATTCATTGTAAAGAAAAACAATAGATATTCTATAATAATTATAATAATAATAATAGAAAATAATCTCCCCTGCTTGCTGAATTGAACCAAGTGTAAGATATTGGGATGGTCAGAGTTCTTGTAAGAGTATTACCCTAGGAAGACGATACTCATTTTTATCTCTTTTACATAAGTGGGAAATGCAATAGTCAGTTTTCTTTCTTAAGAGAGGGCAATTTAGATTTTTTTTTTTTTGTAACAATACAGTTTTATATTATTCAAGATTTTCCTTTCTTCTAGCATAGAAAATTATAGGGTCCTAATATGAGGACCTCAGGAACATGTGTCCTTCTTATAAGAGAATACCACTCTCATGAGCATATTCTATCGAAACTAAGGAGGAGCTTCAAGTAAGCTTCTTACCATAGTGTCTTTCAGTTCCCAGGAGCTCTTCAACACCCATCCATACCATAGTGTTTCTCTTTTATAAAGTTTTGATGAAAGATTTGAATATAATATTATAATTTTGTATAGAGATCATTTTGCACAAGGTTGCAATGATATTAACAAAAGGAATAAGAAACTTAAATAATAATTAAGAATAAAGCTGGTTTGGAATTAAATTCCCACATAATAAAATGTCAACAATATGTACACCACAAGATTAAGCAATTGCTGTTAATTTTTGTTGAAGCATTCAACAATCATGCAGTCCTTGTCTCTATGTTGCTATGCACAATAATGTCCAATGCAAACATTTCCCATATGAGTGGAAACATCCTCTAGAATGTCAATCACATTAAAAAATTCTGGCCTTTTTGAAGGATCATGACTTGTGCAGTCCTGTATTAGCCTAAGAAATTAGCAACACCCATGATTACTAATCAGTTATTAAATCGAAACTGGAAATAATTATGAAACATTGTTTTACTTACTGTTGAATTCTTTTAGGGCATCGGCTTATCAGAAACTTCATTTCGAAGTCAACAGAATCTAAATGTATAAAGTCAAAGTTCATGTTGTTCAGGAGCTGTGTTCCTTCTAGCATCTGCGGCACAATTAGGGTCATTAACATGAACAATGAAGGAGATGGAATATGATATTTTTGACTTTAAGATCTTCAAAAGCATATACCTGATAAAATATGAACCCAAATGCACGTACATCTTTGTTGATATCATTTGATAGGTTGCTAGGCATGCTAGAAGTTTCATTTATTTGACCTGTGAAAAGAAAAGAAAAGAAAATCCCTCAGCAATTGCATCACATGGTAGTAGTACGATCAACCATGAAACCATGTAAAGTTTGAGGTAAAGTTTGAGGGAATGGAAGTGATTTTTACATACAATTGTCTTGGTTTGGCTGTATTTGTTCATACAGCATTTGAACCCAGTACTCCCCAATTTTTAAGTGGCCACTTTCATCTTGCAACAAACTTCTACACACAAAAAGAACATAGTTTATAATCCTTGTAGTAATGACTTGAGAAGTTGAGAAATGTTATTCTATCCGCATTTTTTTGCCCCACTCTTTCACCTATGATAAACCCTGCCCCCTACCCTTTTATGAGGAAGTAGAACCCATTTTTCCACAAGTTCCTTCTGAAAATTGGGGTAAAACTTGCCTCGGATCCAAATTGTTGTGCACTATTGGATATGGCTTGTGCTTGTGAAGATAATTCATTCCCCTAGCAATATCAAGGGCATAGCGCAAAGCAGTGGGAAAATCAAGCCGACCTTTGGTTCTCAATATATCATCCAAGGTACCCTGAAAATTACCATCATAACTAATATCATGTGAGACCAGGATAATTTAGAAAGTTTGATACCTTACCATTCAATAGCAACTTATTGAAAAAGATGTATACTATTGAGGTTGTTGAGTTGTGAAGCATATCAATCCCAATAAATCATCATGAATAAAACAATAGATGGGAAATTCATGAAAAAGATATATATGTATACTATTGGTAGATATTCTGTGATCAAAATCATCTCCTCTCCTTGCACAATTGAACCAAGGAACTGTAAGATATTGGGATGTCGAAGTTCTTGTAAGAGAGTATTTTCCTTGGAAGTCAATATCCTGCAAAAACAATGCTTGAAGAACAATGTCAATTTAAATTGTTCAGACAGTCTCTTTAGACATGGTGAATCTGTCGAAAATAATTAGAAGTTATAATATAAGAACAATATAACCACACGTAAAACATACATTGTCACAGGATGGTGAGGATGGTAAATCTGTCTTTTGATCACTGTTTTGACAACCCATGTTCCACGCCACTTCACCTTGTGAGCTTCACCAAACACACCCTACACAGAGTTCAAATTATTGAAACTATTTAGCTTTAAAAAGAGAAAAACTTTTCTGGGTTGTACCTTTGTCTCATGAAAGTTTTTTTAAAAATATCTAAAATACAAGTATAACGTTTCTTCATCCATTCCTATGTTTCAATAAATTAGAAATTTAACATCAAGTAAATAACATGAATCAATCAATACAGAAAGTAAACTTAAACAACCTGTTTAATTATTGATGCATTTTCTGCAATCAATTCGGAGATATCAATTACTTCATTCGAAGCTTGTTCATGTCGAACTGTCTACATAATCAATAAAACAATAAGTCAAATAATCCATGAGTTGCATAGTATAAATCTTATCTTTTTTAAAAAAATATATATTGTTTGAATTATTCAAATTTTCTATCTTAATAAACAATAAAATCGAGTTTGTATATATTTAGAAGTTCAATTATTACCATTGGCGCCTGATCATTCATCATTGGCTGATCACTGATGAACTCTTGGTCATCCATATCCTTGCCTCCATTAACTTCTAGGATTCTACATATGTCTCGATGTCCATAAAGTCTTGCATCTGTCAAAGGCTTCAAAAAGAAAAGAAAAAAGAAAAACCTACTTAAAGACTATGACATTAAGATAATATTCTTATGAACCAAGCAA